GGAGATTTCCATTTTAGATTTACTTCGCAGTGCTCGCCATGTCTGCTGTTGATTTTGGTAATTTGTAAATGGCTGCGAGATTTCGCATAATTTTGCGGCCTCGGATTGACGGCGGTTGTCAGGACTTTCGGCTTAATTAGAAACTCGTCTTTGGCAGTGGAAAATTCTCATCCCTGTCAGCAGACTGTCGTTCCGTCAACGGCTTAAATCAGTCCCCAAAAGCAGCAAACTCATCTCCTTCCATCAAGGACCATGGACGTGGGACTTATGCTCCACGCACACTCATTAAAATTCAACAAAATTGTTGCCAAATTAACCCAAACATAAGCGAGCTATAAAATTTCCATATTTTCCCCAGCTTACTGGCGACAAAAACGGAGCGAAGCAGCCCCGAAATAAAAAATCTGACCAAACTACCCGATGAAAACACAAATATTGAAACAGACGGCAGAGGGAAACTTTACTCCAAGTGTTAATTACATGCACAAGCTGGAAGTTGAAACTTTAATGCCGGAGAATTGTTTCAGTTTTGAGGACCTTGATAGTAAATATATGGAAATCTAGGGCGACCTGTGTAGGCAAGCTTTTAATTGGTATAAAGTCTCCTGTTGCCAATAAGCACATAATCTTGAGCTCCTCTCCTGAACATAATAAACAAGTAGGAGGTCGATTTGAGAGTACAAAATGTTTAGCTCTAAACCTACTTATTGCCTTAAATATTCCAAACTTTGCAAATAGAAAATTGCTCTACCAAATATTGTTTATCAAGGTATTTGCAGATTGTGAATTATATCAAATCTGTTTGACACCTACATATCTACTTGCTGAGCTACTGGAGCTGTACTACACACAATCCTTTGCCATCAATAAACACTATCGGATTCCAAGGATATCCCCAAGTATCGAAACTGGCATCTGCTCGAATGGAATTCAATTAGAAGATGCGTAATCCGCACCGCTTTATCTACTGCCACCATTTAATTAAGCTCCTTTCGCCGGGGTGTTTTTCAACCCTCGCAGCACTGCAATTTATTTCTAATTCAGTTCAAAGATTTATTTACTATATCCCGAACTGAGGGACTTTAATTAGCACTCCACTTGTTGGCAGACGGAACGGTTCGTTGGCGAGGAAATAAACACGCGGCAAATGACACTGAAAGTGCCCGTTGCATTGAGGAGGAGGGGAGAATTTTCCAGGGGGTAAAAGAGTGCCAATGTCATTCCAGCTGGTCACCAAGAGGGGAGGGAGGGAAGAACCCCCACCCCCACCATTTACAGAGCTTGTTGTGACTCTCCTTGCCTTTATTTTTTTCGGCTGGGAGTCTGAGTTCGTTTCCTGGGCATCCTTGTAGTTAAGCAGAATTTTAATTGATAAATTGCCACTTGGGCCATTACTTGTCGCTGCCGTGGCTCCAGGCCCCGCCCCACTTGCCACCTCCCCCTGCCACCTCTGTTTTCCACTGTCTTATTCGCTTTGAATAATTTGCAAAAGTTGCGAGCGGGGAAACGACGGAGGGAAACTCCTCGCCCGCTGCGGTTGACTCTTCAGTTCAGTTCAGTCCTCGGCTTCCACTTTTGGACGTGCTGTTAGTAGCGTTAACATCATCAAATGAAATACAATAAAATACTTGGACTTATTTAAAAAGCAATTAAATATTAAAAACACTTGTACAATGGCGACTCGGCAAAGGGCGAAGGGAGCTTTGGTGACTTTTGGAATTTTGATTGTTTCTTTGCGTTTCATTTACAAGTTTTCCCGGGGAAAAGCAGAAGGGGAGCGCTCTGCGGTTTTATTTGAGTGATTATGCAATTAATTAAAATCTCTTCGCTCGCGGTTTAAGCCAACAGCTCAGCCGTGGGGATTTGCCAGCGACGAGTTCTCCCCAAGCCAAGTAATTGAATTAAAATCGGAATGTGAAATTAGCATTATCGAGTGCCGAGGAGCGAAACGGAACAACTTTTTGGCCATTCGGGGACTTCGGCGAGGCAATTTCCCTGCCGGAAGTCGAGTTTATTAGAACAACCAGCCGGGAGATTGGGTCGAAAAAAGTTGAAACATAACTGCAAAGAAAAAAATGGGGCAACAAGGAAAAAAGTCGGGGGAAAAGGCAAGGGGAAAAGCCTTTGGTAACGGGTGGAAAAGCACACATAAGCGTTCAGTTATTCCATTAATTTGATTAGAGTTTCTGACGGATCAGGGGCTACGGTTAACGCGAGGAAAAGTAAAGCAAAGGAAATGCGGGAAATTCGGCAAGTGGTTGAGGCTCACGAAGTCGAAGAGGAAAACACTCTAGTAAGTCGTATATAAAAAGTATATAAAATACTTATACAATGGAAAGAAGTTTTAAGCCTCTTTATAATAATATAAATGGAAAATGGCAACAAATTTTTATTTTCTTGGCATTTTAATGTTCAAAATAACTGATTCAACCAATTATATATATTTTTTAAATTGATTACCAATACAAACAAGTTAAATACATTATGTAAGCCTTTGACAAACAGCCAAAATAAATGTAGAAGCCCTTCCCTAGAGCACAACAACAAGCTCAGCAGCACGCGCGAGGCTAAAACTGTGGAAAAAAGGAAAACAATGGCGAAAACAAGCTGTGGCAGGAGCACAAGAATGCCGAGGAAAGCGGGAAAGCGGAAAAGCCATCCCATCAGCGTGGACACACCTCTCTGCGTGATGCGGCCTTATGAAGTGCCGTTATTAACTATGGCCCGGTGCGGGGCAACTTATGCCTCGTAAGAATTTAACGCCCGAATGCTCAAATTGTCAATAAGAAAGTTGGCACGCCCACTTCGCGGCCGGGCTATCAGTCTGGCTAAGCCGCGCTGGCAACATTTTATGCCACCTCAGTTACACACACACACTACGGCCGGCATTAAACGGCGATGTCCACGCGTTTTCATTAAGCCAACTTTCGGCCCGGCCGAAACGGAAGACGAGGCCTGGCAATCATTTTTTATGGAGCTGCGCGGCCAGCGCATCAAAAACCCATTTGGCCGCCATTAACTTGATTGAGTCGAGCTGTGCGAGAGCGGTGTTCCTCGGCATTTTTGCGCAGTTTTTCCTTACTTTCTCCCCGCCTTTTTCGGGGGCGTTCCAAATGAAAATTGATCATGGCCCGGTGTCCCTTCCATGTTTACAACTAATATTTCTGCGGATTGGCGCGGTGATGCGATCGGCGGCGACTTCAGGGCCATTAGTTGTCATTAGTGGGCATTTCCTTAATTAAACCTTGCCCCCCAATCAGTCATTAAAGGGTGTTTCTTCCTTCGCCGTCGCTATCTTTCCAGTCATTTGTCATCTGCCTCACGGCATCCAGCAATCCAGCAGTTGTTTGCTAATTAAAGGACCGAGTCGACAGCCAGAATCCCGGTGCCAGAGTCCCAATGCCAATGCCAAGATTGCGGTCGTTTCGGACTGCTCAGTGCTCGGTGATTGACGCCCGGGGGGGTGACCTACTTCCCCTGGCCAGGTATTAAGCCACTTCCACTGATTCGCAATTGCGGCTCAAATTGACTTTGGTCAGGCTTGCGAAACGGCTTAATATTGTCTCCATAAGCCGCAGGCTCCTGATTTTGATGTTCAACGTAAATCAGGTGAAGAGCGATTGCTTATCTTACTTGGTTTTTGTAATTTTTTAATAAATCAATAATTTTTTTGTACTTAGTATTTTAAGTACGTCAATAATTTAACTGCATTTTCTAAAGGAAAGTGTAAACATTGTCCTTAAATATTCAAGGCAAAGAATTCGAACAAAAATAAATAGTTTTTTGTCACTCAGGAAATTCCTAAATTCATTTATAGCATATTCTTCAGCTGTGAAGCGTTTCCACCGGATAACGTGTCACTCGAGGCAATTACTCAGTTGGGTCTTTGCCCGGAATGCCAAAACGCCTCTTCCAGATTCGATTATGGCTGCGACTTAACCCTTCAGATTGCTTACCAAAAACTGGCTGGACTGCCAGTTCTTCAGTTTGCAGGCGAGTCCAACTGTCACAGGACAGCATATTTAAGCTTAGCCGGCTTACACAAAATAAATAAATGTGATTTGTCATTTTGGAAAACATGAAATGGCAGCAGTTGGAACAGGACGAGTAAACTGTTCGGGAGAGAGCATTAAATTGCAGTCAAATGGCACGCTGTGTGCATTCCAAATGCCAAGGATTCCGTGTCCTGCTGTAGGTCGAGGAGGGGATGTATTAAATTATTCGAGCGTGCAGCAGCCAGACGGAGATACTTTCGTATGCAACACTGAGCAGTCGGTCCAAGTCCACAAGTCCAAGTTCCACATACACACACTTGGTTGGTTGTTTGCCTTGTGACTTTTGCCAGATCAAATAAATGTTGTCCCCCTCCCGAGGAGCAGCGAGTCCTGGGGGCTAAGCTGCAGAATGCCTCCTCATCAGCAAATCAGCATCGGAATGAGAGTCAGAATCAGCATCACAATCTGGCAGCAAGTCGGCCAAGTTGAGCGCCATGCAAAATTCATTTGACCGAGCGAACGGCAACGAGCTGCAAATGAAATGGCGAAGCTGGCGTGCCGAAGTCACCTGTCACTCTGGCCACCAGGTGACACTGACAGTGGGCCAGGACTCCTTGGGGGAAGGTGGAAGTCTCACCATTGACCTTTCGACAGCTCTGCTCTTGAGAAAGGCCAAACGGAATTGACTGTAAGCAAACACTCAAATAACACACAAAGTTAATTTGCTGAACGAACGAAGAGTGACATTAAAGCTGCATAAACTGAATTACAAAATGATACATTAAAATACATTACAAATCTCTTCAAAAATCAAGACTTTAATGCCATCCACTTCTTGTTAAAGTATCAGTTTAAATGAATTAACAGAATTAAGATTTCTTCAGAAAATATGCATAAAATACGTTTTCCAGCGAAATTGTTCATCCTGCTACTTATTCGTAATAAATCTCTTTGGAAGGACAATGGGTAAATGCCATTTAATTCTAGGTGATATAACACTGGTAATTTAAGTCAACAGTGTTGCGTCCACTTTCATTTATTTTTCATACTTATAAATGTGATATTCGTAATTAAAGTCAGATATAAAATTGCATTTTTGTTTCGTTCAAATGGGAGATGTTTTATCTACAGAAATGGGAAATATTCCTTCCCCCGGGCCATCACTCGATATCCTTGCTGGAGTCCTGTTCGTTCAGCTCGTACTTATGGGCCGGCTTAATGATGACAAAGGAGCAGACGAGGTCCTTGCTCACCACCATCACCCCACCGGCATTGTTCATCATTCCGCAGTAATTCGGGGCGGAGAACACGGTGACCAGCTGGCGGTTGGCGAAGAACTCGTACCCGTCCTCCACAACCTCGTGGGCTCTAACCATTAAATCCAGGTTGTGGGCCATCAGGAAGTTCCGCACGATGGACTGGTCGAAGGTGAAGCTCACTCCGCGATCGTTTTCCCCCCAGCCCGCGGATGTGTGATTGAGGTCCGCCCAGAGGAGGTCGCACAGGATGCCGTTGTCTGGGATGTCCGTTGGCCGAAGCAGCCGGTTGATCTGCTCCACCCTCCGGAGGGATGGACTCAATCCCCCGTGGCAGCAGAAAATGCGTTCACCCACAACCGCGGCCACCGGAAGGCAGTCGAAGCAGCCCGTGAAACTCCGCCACAAACGCACCGTGAATCTGCGCTTCACCTCGTCGTAGAATCCGTAGACGCGATTTATGCTGGCGCACTCGTGGTTTCCGCGGAGCAGAAAGAAGTTGGTCGGGTACTTCACCTTGTAGGCGAACAGCAGGCAAATCGTCTCCAGCGACTGCTTACCCCGATCCACGTAATCCCCGAGGAACAAGTAGTTCGCTTTCCCCGGAAATCCGCATGCCTGGAAAATGCGCAGCAGATCCGTAAACTGGCCATGGATATCCCCGCAGATATTCACAGGAGCCGCCAGTTGCAAGAGCATCGGTTCACACATCAGCACTTCGCGGGTCTTCGCGATTAGTTTCTCGATTAGAGTCTCATGCATTCTACAAACATTTCCCTCCGGAGAAGTAAGCTCCTTTATAATGCAGTCTATTTCCTGAGGGGTTATGTCCAGCATCGTGTTTTAGTAAAATAACAAAAATTTAGTGACTTTATAAAATGTTCTTTTGTGCGAATAGGTGTAAATGAGACTGTTTTCTCAAAGGGAAGTTTTCCTGCTGGCTACTTTGCTTGCTTACACTGGGGGAAATCAAAGTTTGTCTAATGAAGTGGTAATAAAGGGGTTTACTTACGCTTTCTTTGGGTTTAAAATAACAGCTCGACCACTTTTGGCTTGCTTTTATTTCATCGTCAGTTTGCAGTTTCATATACAACACTGTTTATATGTTATTAAATTGGAAAACAAGTCAAGGAAAGTGTTATGTTTTACTCTTGTTTTTAGTGCATGAACTTTACCACTTTGCTGACCGCCAAGGCAGTTGGTTTTAGGTACGGGGAACATATTTTCAGGTTTATAGCTCTTTCTTCATGTGCAAGGATAATCCTCCTCCCTGCTCCACTCTGCTTTCTCCGGCCCACAAAACCATATCGGATCTGAGACCAGACTTGACTTGGCTTAAAGCAGAAGCGTTAAAGTGCAAAAGATTTATGGAATTTATTTATGTGCCAGTTAAAATGACTACAACGGTGGGTGGGAGAGGCATGTGGTTGGATTGGGAGGTGGGTGGTTCGGTGGTTGGTTTGAAGGACGCTGCCCATCACCATCTTCATCATCCTCATTGCTGCCGTTGTCGTCATCTCCATCAGAAGCGCCATCACAATTTTCGTTGCGGCGGTGTGGACGTAAGCGGATTTGCGACAAAACTCATTCGCCATGGACACGATGCCACGCCCACCTCTCCGCCCCCTCTCCATCCCCTTGAATGATACCACCTCCCCTGGCTTGGCTTGAATCGCTCGGCTGGTCAAAAACTCCGACGTCTTTGCCGCTTGTTAGCAGTTGACAGCAGAGAGCGACGGGGCTAAATCCTGTTAAAATTTAGTGCAAAATAAGATAGAATGCTGGCTGCTTAGCCGAGAAAGGAGAAAAGTAAATTATTCGTTCTTCGCTCTCATTGAATGCCGTGCACTCACCACGTAGATTTTCCGCTTTTCCTTTGCCCTCGCTCTGTTTTCCCGCCTGCACTTCCCATTGAAAACAAAGTACGAGAATATAATATAAATAAAATAAAGTTCCGGCTGGCCATATACATAAGTTTCGCCATTTTATACGGACAAAACCTACCAACATAAATATCCTTGTGTTTCGCTGGCCCATAAATTGTCGCCGAAAGCTCCGAAAACAATAAAAATAAATGAACTTGAGTGAGTCTTTGCACTGGAACTGAAAATGAAACCGAAACCGAAACCGAAACTGAGGACCCGGGAATGAAAAAAAAAAAAAAAAAAAAAAAAAAAAAAAAAAAAGAAGAAGCCCCAAATTGGAACTGGAACTCGAAACGAGGCAATTTGATGTTGATTATTACTTGCCCTTCTAGTGGGAATTACTTTTCTCAGCGATGGTTTATGTGTTGCCGGCTATTTTGGCTATTAGTATTTATTGTCCTGTCCACCGCCAAATCACACTCTAAATGATAAAGAATTTGTCGGGTATATATCTTCATAAACTGGTCAGCAGAAGTGACAGCTAAAACTAATAAGCCGTATGCAATGTGGCTTGTTTGCTTATGAAAATTCTACATTTTATTTTCAAAGCCTGCAGATATTTGATTTAACTTTTATGTTGCTTCGCCAAATATTTGTTCTTGGATATTAAAATGACATTGAGGCAAATTTAAATTTAAAAGAATACAATTTAAGATTTTCCCCTTTCCAAACTTCTGTCATTTTTTCTTTTGTCTGGTATTTAAATAAATCCAATTTGTAATGGTTCTCCCCAAAATGAAGAAAAAATGTTTGCGCTCTGATTCTTTTAAAGCTTTAATAAATTCTTTTCCAAGTTCTTGTTCAAAAGTTGTTTGCCTTAAATTTTTGGTAAATTCTATAGAGGCTAAAATTATATAACAAATATATTTTTTAACTGTCTAAAATGTGAACAAGCTTTTAGGAAATTTCTATAAATATCCCTTTTCTGAATTAAAATCTCCGGTCGACAAGCTATTTTACATGATTTTACGGCGATTTCTAAAAGTTTCTATTAGCTGTTTTGCCCTCGTCTTGCGTGGTATTGAAAATCAAAATGAAACACACATAAATGCGATTGTTTATGCCGGGGTTCGGGTTGGGATTCTGGGGCACTGGAGCATACATGAACCGGACAGCAATTGAGAGAGTTGCCATGGCTGCAGGATACCGGGGAGCGGAAGGCTGCTCCTAAGTCCTGACACGTGCTGCAGCTCCTGCCTTTCTTGCCACACAGCCCGCATTTGATGCAATGTGGGTGGGGCAAGTGCATGATGGAAAAATATTAGGGGATTTTCATATACCCGCAAATATGTTTAGCGTGCTTAAAAATTCTTAATTATAGGATAGCGTATATTAGATAGTTTTAGCTGCAATTAAATAGTCAAAGTGCTTCTTAATTAGAATTTCTTAAAGGTGTTTATATACTCAGTTTTTTTATGGAAATTGTTGATTTTAATTTAGCAGCTAAACAAGTTGGTTGAATAATATGATTAGAAAATGTTGTTAAATACGTATGGAAGCATTTCTTTCTGTGTAGCAAGATGCGTCTCAGCTTGCCACTCGACTTGGTTCGTCTCACTTTTTTAGTCGTCTTTGGACTGAGGAGGAGCATCTAGAAAGCAATAACAAATGGCGACATTTAGTGTGTGGAATACAGTTGTATTTCACTAGCTTTTTTCCATTGCTCCACTCTCCTTTGGCTTAACATTTCACTTTTCACTTGTGCGCCTGCCCCATCCTCCAGTTGGGTTCATTTTGCACTTTTTTCCACTCCAGTTTGATTCAGAATCTGCTCTTTCCGACAAGTGTCGGTGACATTTCCCCGGGCGTGCATTCAAATAAATATTTGCAAATAGTTACTCACTTGAAACTTGTTTGAATCGCCTTTGGTTGATGTAAAACAAGTTGGGGGCATGTGAAAAATTGATTTCTGATTATGTCTGCTATCTAAAGGCTTTAAACTTATTTTAATTCAGTTAAATTTTTGGCCAGGGGAGAAGCTTTTGAATTGCCCAACCAATTAAAAATTTGTTCAATATTTATTCTGCTAAATAACTGAACCACTGGGGCAAATGTTAAATTTTTAGATCCTGTTATGGCAAGATTAAATTTTAATTTGTCATTGCACAGCCGCACGCATATTTCAGATCGATAAAGAATATTTATTTGGTCGAGCGCACCAAAATTAAATAAACGAAAAATACCGAACGCAACTGGTTTTATGCACTTAACTCGAATCGCTTGAAGAGGAGCATCGATAAATGCAATCTGTAAGCAAACTAGGAGAGCTTTACAAATTCTTTCAAAGTCCGAGGCATGACAACATAATGTCGGGCTGGAAAACAATTTGCATGGCCTGAGAAATGCCAGCTGAGGCCACAAATAAATATTGAAACCGAAAAAGGATTTCGTGGCGAGGAGACGACTGGTGACTGGTGGCTACTGGCTGCTGGCTGGTGGGAAAAAGGAGCTCCGGTGGTCCCACGGGCCTTGGAGTGGTCCTAATAATCTGATGCTAGTTATAAACTCCCAGCCAGCGGCCGGTCCAAACCAAAGTCATTTATATTTGTGCCCGGAGAGTCTTGGATTTCACAGCCGGGGCTGGCAAATATAATCATTCATGGTTTTCAGAGCATGAATCACATGCAAATGGCCAGGGCCGGTAGTCCGTTGTGTTGCCTGTGCAAATAGATTCATAAATCAGTATGAAAATATTATTTGATTTCCGTTCTCACAGAATGCCACAAAAGAAGGCCTTTCCCCGGCCCCCAACTTTTCCGTACCCTTATCGGTGTCCGAATCTGAATCTGAAACCGAGTTCTCAGCTCTGAGCTCTGAGACGTTGTCGGAAGCTACTAATTGGAGCATAAAGTACCAGCAACAAATGCTCCGATTCTTTTCCCCTGCTGAATCGTCGATACCCTCATAGAATTTGAATAAAATTAGCATGACTATGGATGGGCTTCTGAGTGAATGGGGGAGGCCCTTCGAAAAGCATATTTGTGGCTTTCTGAATAAAAGCAGCTCTGAGCTAAATAGGCGCCAAATAAATTGGGCCATAAGGTCGCCCCATCATTAAGGAAAAAATCATTTTACATATCTTTAATATTTGTTTTCTTTACAAAAATGTGACAAAGTATTTATCAACGAAAATATTTTCCTCCGTTAGCTGTTATGCTATTTATTTCCCTTTAAAACCAATTAAATTCCTTAAACGTTTACCACCATAAAGCTAGAGTACAAAGGGATTTTTGGCCTGGCCAAGAGAGTGTTTAATTTCCACCTCGACCAAGGAATACTTTCGTGTTTTTATTTTTCCCCAACTTCCCCCGGCGGAAGCAGAATGTTGACATTGCGTCATGCGGCCTGTGAATTATGAGTGGTATCTCTGGCTTTTTCCATTGGCAGGGCAACAATGAGCACTTCCGCCTGTCTGTGCCGCCTTCCCCTGTCCTTGGATTCCATCTTGATTTTCCCCTGCAATCAGACGGAGCTTCCTCGAAGCATGCAACAGCATCTGGGCATCGGCGTGTGCATCTGTGGATCTGCGCCTTTTCTGCATTTGTGCATCGCCGCATTCTGCATTTGTTGCACTTGCCGCATGGCCAAATGTCGGGGTTCAAGTCGTGACAGGCGAAATGAGTTCCTTTCTGCTCATTGTGGCACAGCGGTTGTGTGGCGAGCTGCATCCCCGACCACTGCTTAATATTTCCGCTTGCACACTTGCTTATTTATTATGCTTCCGCCATCCTGCGGCGCAAAGGAGGCGGAGAACACCCCATTATGCCACACAAAGAAAATCCTTAAGGGGTTCGAATTTCTCGGAAATACAAGGTATTAAGCAGGGGTTCTATAAATACCTATAAATATAAAATAGATTGAAGCCCATATTTTTATATTCTTAGAATGCATAAACGTGTTCACCATTTTGGAATAATCATGTATATTTTTATACTCACAATGCATTGTATCCCCCAAAATTTTTTAAGTCAGTGGAGCCTTTTTTCTCTGTGCAACTTA